TTGATTGTGCTGCTCTTGAAGTTGCTTCTATTCTGTGGCCCTTTTCACTGATACTCGGGCCAAGGTAACTGAATTAACGCGCTATTTTAAATTCCTGAGCAACAAACATTATCTTGATTGCAAGCACCATCGTGTTCGTCATCGATTTCTTTTTTTTCCAACATTAATCTCCATGCCACATCTGGAGGATGTTTAATCCAAGTTCCACACAAATATCTATGGATAAATTTGGATTTCATCTCCTTGGCATTTTAAACTGAATCGTAAGGAATATAAAAAAAAAGACTGTTTTAAAATCAATGTTAATAGAAATGCGTTGAAACCCCATGGCATTAATACTTGTTAATCTTTTAAAACTGATTTTCTTGTTAGACCACTCCTAGTGTAGTGAGTTCAATCCTCACTAGATGCTTCACTTTTATGCATACGGAATAAGACTAAAATACAGGGATTTTTTAAGATGTTCAAAACAGTGTGAAGTCAGTTGCTATATAAATAGGAAATGAAAATCAGTCTCACAGATCATTACTACTATACTAAGTTCGATCCTTATTTAGTGCCCCAAACTTGTAACCTTGTGCCATACTAAGCTAAACTAAGTGATGTTTATCCCACTGGGTGCCCTTCAATTGTTGCCTTGCGCCACACAATATGTTCAGTTACTCTTTAAGCTTTCTATCGAGGTTTTCTTCATTTTCGGCTGTTTGTTTTTTGCACTGTCCGTAATTAATGTTCCAATATTTCAAGAAAATTTTCATTTTCGTGTGATTAAGCCAAGTACAATAGTTATTTTGGTAGCATTCACTCAGTGCTTGTTTATGATGACTGTCAACTTCGGTCACGTTTTCCCGAGGAACCCAAAAGCCCTTCTTAACTGAGGATTGACAGTTTTATGCTTGGCCTTTTACGAGAATAAATCTGGATCAAAGCGACATATGTTAATGATGTGCACCGAATCCATAGCAACCACCTGCGAGCAGGTGCATTAAACAGATGCAACGGCACTTTGCTTCATCAGCCTTTAACAAGATTGTTAATCAAAATGTCGCTATAAAAACGTGTTTTCACAGACTTCTTCTAATAATAGTTTAAGTAATATTTTTTTTTTAATTTCTCTTGATAGACCGAATCAAATCTACATGTAATTAAAAGAATTTAGTAGGTGTTTGCAAAAGTTTCTAGTAAAAACCAGTTTTCAATTACTAGTTAAAATAAACAGCACTGGGATCTTTTGAACACACCTAATATAACACACCTAAGGTTATAGAAAACCAGAACTAACGAAAGTCGCTTGCTAACTTTTACAATATCTTTTATGGCCAAGAAAAGTACAAATGGTCAATATCTCTTTCCTTTTTCTATAAAATGTAAAATATTAGAACCAAATGAAATAGTTAAAAACTGCTAATTAAAGAATGAAGCCATTGAAAAATGTTTGTAATTATAAATACCTAAAGAAATCTTTACTCGTCTTCAGCATTACGATATGTATATATATATAATAGAATTATTTACTCCTCGCGTTTTTAGTTGTAGCAGTGATGAGCAATTTGGAGTTTGTACTTTGCCAATGCACACTACTTCAATGCTTCAATTTCCGCCATTAATTTAACGACACCATTTTACTATGGCTGCCTGCAATTAATGTAAGGGAATCAACTTTATTTCGCCTTCATCCTTAAACTAAATTCACCTCTGACTTTTATTACTCGAAAGTTCAAATCTGATGTTTAAATCTGCTCCCAAAAGAAAAAGAAAATCTGTGAATAGGTCTGGAGAAAAAGACATTGGATGTTTTGCTCCAAGAACTTCTAAGTAAATTAATAAAAACATTAAAATTACTGATTACAAAAAATTATTATAAATAGTAAAAAAAAAAACGAAAAAAAACAGAAATGCAAAAAACTAACAACCTTTACCTTGATTGCAAAAAAATATCAATATCATCGGTGACAAACAGAATAGTTTGCCATTAGTCAATCATTTTTACTTATTTATTTATTTTTCTAATCGGGAAAAATAAAGTTGCCAGTAAAGACATCGGGTCTATCTTGTAGACTAAAATTTTAGGAATCGATAATTGGTTTATTCTTGATTTCATGTGTTTTGGGAAAGTTTTCTCTTGGTTTGAATGATTTTTAATACAAGAATCAATCAAAAACTAATGTCGGTTTTATTTTAATTTTTAAAATATTAATCGGAATTAAAAACAATATCTATAAGCTATATAAAATGTCTAGAAACCCAAGGAAATATTTTATGTTGATATCCTCTATTTCGTTCCCATAATCCTATTTCAAAAATGTTGCCCAAATACATAAAAATGCATAGAACTATCATTAAATTTCTATTTTTCAAATGAGAAATGCTATGAAGCTACAAACATTCACAATAGTGAATTTTTATGGAAAGGTTGCATTTTGATGTCAGATGATTGTCAGATGACAGCTATCCTAAAAAGAAAAGCGTAGTTGACCTTAGTGACAGGTTTACAGTGTCAGGTCTGCTGCTAATATTATATATTATACTGTTGAAAAGATGCAAAAGGCCTTCAGCTGAGACATGGTAGTGCTTGCAGTTTATTACAGTCACTTGGCTACTTAGACGTCTATGATAAGTGGCTTCCTTGAATGATGATTTTCTCCATGAAAGTGCAGACGGAGGTTGTTGCCAATTCAGTCAAGAAAACCTTAAAATTGATTAACATGAAATTATTTAATTTCAGTAAAGTCTGTTTATTAGTATAAAAAAAAAAAGTCCAAATCGTTTTTATAAACTGAATTATCTCCCTTAACCCCTTACCAGATCAACTTTTATACCCATTTCATTTTGGACAATATCTTTTGGTCTCATAATTTAAGATTACTTAATATACATATTGTGAAATTAATTTTCTCATTTATTCAATTCTTTTTTTTTTCTCTCTATCTCTGCTTACATATCAAGAGACCTAGTAAAGAAAATGTGCCTTCTGACAGGAATTGAACCTATATTCCCTTTTTCAACTGGGGAAACACACTTTTAAGCTAGCTTTTTCCTTAATGGTAAAGCACACTTAGCTTTACAAAGAGAATAGAAATTCCTGTTGGGAAATACCTTTTCATTAATAGGACTATCTATAGAAATCTAGACATTAATTTCATTGTTTTTTTATTTTAAAAAAAAAAAAAAAAAAAAAAAAAAGAAAGAAATAAAGGTCTACTCAAATACATGTACCCACTAAATATCTTTCATAATTTTCTAATAAAAAAAAAAAAAAAAAAGAAGAATCTATATATGCAATACAATATTTTTTAAAGGATTTGCCATCTGATATTTTCTTACTATTATAAACCGTATATTTAGTGGCTACACTTGTTTGAGTTGCTATCCCCGATTTTTTAACTAGTGAAATTTGTTAAATGGCATAAACTGAGAAGTCTTACTAGCAAAAGATTATGCCTCTGAAAGGAATCATACCTGCATCCTATTTTTTTATCAGGGAAACCACTTTTTTAGCCAAAAGAAGATAAGTCTGACAGAGCAAGGTTGAAATTACCTTTTTAAGGAAAAGCACATTTTCATTTCTGTTAATCTACATCTGCTAATTTACATTTAAAATATGAAACATAACAAACAGTAAATTTTTTAAAGGATTTTTACATGACATTTATTACTATAGATTGTTGATTACTGTCAGAAGCACAAGTTTTCTTTAGTAGGACTTTTTGATCTAGGCCAGTTATTAATTTCAGTTTAATAACATAAAAAAACAGTAACTGAAACACATATCCCCACTAAAGGTCAACACAACACAATGTAGATCTTGGCAATAGTTTTTCATTTAAGGATTTATTGAAAAAGAATTTTATTTTAATGATTTTTCTCTTGAACAAGAAAACAGGTTTCGTTTCAGAATAGGAAAAAAAATTGCATATGACTAGACATTTTCAAGAAAATTTAAAACTTTGTTTAGGACATTTGTAACATTTTAATGCTTGTAGATCATTTACAGAGTATCTGTTACCTGTTTAAATATTTGTAAGATATGAAATTAGAACAATTTGTTAATACATCTGTTAAGAGAAAACTGTCCTAAACATAGCCTAGAGAAAGGCAGACATTTGTTTCCTTCAGCTGTTTGTGCATTTGTACATTTTTGAGAGATTTAATAAGAAAAATACAGATTACTAAATTGCCAGCAAAGTCTCTTCCATTCAGTTGAATTGGTTTCATGTAACCATAAGTTCTATGCTAACAGTTTCTTTCCTCACACTTCTCTCTTGTGGAACTCTCTTCCAGTTCCATGCTTTCCATTCAACTTTGCATTTAAATTTTTAAGGATCAATGTCAATTATCTTGTCTTAATATTTCTCTTTTCTTTCACACTCAGTAACCCATTGTGTTTTAGTAGTTTTATTGACTTGTATGGAGCGAAATGATTAAAACAAAATGATAAAGACAAATCACTTAACATATTACTGGTTTTATATTAAAGCGTCTTTGGTTATTGCATTTGTTAAAAAATCTCAACACTTTCCCTATGCAGGAAAAATATGTTGGACTCCTAATAAATGAAAAAAAAAAAAAAAAAAAAATCACAATGAATTATTTTTTTTTTCTTTCAAGCTTTAAATTCATCTTTAACTGTGTTCAGTAAATACTTCATTTCACTAGAGTTAGTGATTTGCCATGATTGATGTACAGGCCCAAATACAGAACAGGTGTTTGAATGAGGCATTACTAAGATGTGACTAACTCCATTTTCTTGTTCACCCTATTTGGCCATGTGACATACTTATCTAGGCTTGGTAAATAGAAGCATTACCATAAATTTATATTAAAAAAATTAGGATGTCCAGACAACGAAAATTCACCAATATCAAAATTTGAAATGAATGCAAGAAATGAAGACAAAAATAAAGAATTTATATAAATTTTTATTAATATATAGTTAAAAAGTTTAATAGGAATGTTCCAGCTGAATAAATAAGGCACATGACTCAACAAAAGTAGCAATTTCAGACTTTTGTTCCATTGAATCTTCGCATAAGCCACAAGAATAATGATAATGTCGTTATACCAACAGCAGCAGACACTGTATAGACAAGCATAGGGAAATGGCCCTGGAATTAGGTAAAAAAAAAAATATGTAATATAAGACAATTACACAGAACACAAAAATAGTGAATAGAAAAATCAAATAATTGTCAAAATTATGCAAAAGCAATTATAAGCATTACTTGAAAACAAACAAAACAATTTTATTAAAAAAGAAAAAAAAACATTTACATACATATTTAAATTAGAAATTAGTGTTGCTAAAATGCTAAAAGGATAAAATTGATAAAACCTGTCACTGATAACAATCTTGATGATTAGAAATAGTTGGAAGTACTACAATATTATGAACTTTTGACAAATTCCACATAATTTTGATCTGGTGGGGCAACAATTTATATACAAACTGGATAAATGTAATATAAAATTAAATGGACACATCTTGTCAGTTGATCTCAAAACTTGTTTGTATGAATTCTTGCTACCTAAATATGAAGAGGTAGCTGAAAAATCCTTAGCCAATCCACTTGATAAAATTTTTTCAAACATCTTATAGTCTCTCAGATTACTATTGAGTTCAATCCTCACTGGGTCCTGTGTACTTTTGGCTTTATGCGAGATTAAGTTCTGCTATGCAAATACACACACAAGTCCATGACCTGACAGAGTTATGAACTGAATTTTCACTGTTTGATCTTTGAGATTAATATTCACCAATGAATAAAGTGCATTGACAAGTATTTTGTTTAATCCTTCAGCTAAAAATCAAATATATATATATATATATATATATATATATATATATATATATATATATATATATATATTTGTGCGACAAAAATGCATATTTATTTCAATGTCCAAAACATCTGCCAGGCAGCTTTATTTAAAAATACAATTTATGAAACATCACTTTTTACATTTTTGAAAATTTTCCATAAAATGCAAAGAAACAAATATATAAAAAAAATTATTCATTCCATAAAAGGAAAAGAGAAAAAAAAAGCAAATTAAAAAAAAAAAAAAAAAAAAAAGAAAAAAAAAAGGAGAGAAAATAAGAAATCAATAAAAAGAAAAAGAAAGAGGAAAAAAAGGGAAAGCATAAGAAATCAACCCTACTACAAAGAGCAGGGAAAGAAAAGATAAGAAAAAAAAAAAAAAAAAAAAGGTGTATATCCAAATTTTACAGATACAAATGAAAAAGAAAGAAGAAAATAAGATATGAGAAGTTGTTGATACCAATTTTAGCCAATGAAGATACATTAAGATGGAAAATACAAAACTGAATGGAAATATAACGCGACAAGTTAGGAAACATATTACAGATACAATGTAGCAATTCAAACTTTATGACATTTGTTAGATAAACGGCATTGGTCAGAATTTCTACAATTACATAGGTTAGTTATACAAGACAAATTAGAATCAGTACTAGCATTACAGTTATTATTGTTATATAATTTCAACGTGTTATTGTTATGTGATTTAATTATTTTCTTTAGATTATTAGTACAACTATAGCTAAGTTTTAGAGTATTCTGATTGAAAATTTAACTTAATTACTTTTAGGAAAAAGTTTATCAATTAAATTAAGAAACTTCTGTCCCAAATTAGTATGAATTAACAGATTGAATGGAGGTGTATACTATATAATCTTCATGTTTCTGTTTTTTATTTTTCTGGAACAACCACAAACTTAATTTCACAAGATCTGAACCCACTATCTCTAAGAACTTTATCATAAATCGTTTTATGTTTCTTGAATATATCTTTGTTAGAGGAATGTTGGTTAATACATCATTCAACAGATGATGGAATATATTGGATTACAGACGGTGGATGATTGGAGTTACGGTGGATATAAATTGGGTTGGCATTTTTTTTCATGTAAGCCTGAAAAATTATTGAGAACTAAATTTAAAGTTATGTCTAAGAAATCAACTTGTTTGATAATGGAATTAATTATGCTAAGATTAAAAGATTTAAAAACTGGATTAATGGATTAATTTTCTAAGTTTATCAACTTTACTTCCAGTAGAGTTAATTACAACCATGAGACCATCGTCCCTATAGAGCCCTATACTATTTAAATCAATATCTTCATATGCTGTGAGGTTGTACAATAAGAACAATCAAACTAAACCAGAAGACTCTACAGAATCCAATGATCCCATTGTTATGTTGAAATTATCAACCAAATTTTTAATTTGTTGTGGTAACATGTTTCAATGTAACAGTTTATATATATATATATATATATATATATATATATATATATATATATATATATATATATATATATATATATATAAATTCATGAATCATTCATACAAAAAACAAATATAGGTTAATGAATTAAATGGCGAAAAATATGTAATAAACAATATAATAAGATACATCAACCCGAACCTGTATATTTATAAACAGGGATCATATCATTCATATACAGGTTTGAGGTTGATGTATCTTATTATATTGTTTGTAATATTAACCATTTAATTCATTAACCTCTATATTTGTTTTTTGTATGAATGATTCATGAATTTATAAATTATATTTGCACCTTTTAATTGAAATATATATCACACAGAGTGATGATGGGTACCATTACACCAATATCTCTGTGAAAGTCAACCCAGGTTATTTATGCGTGCATTTCCAATGGATGTCCATTTCACTGCCTACTCATCATCCACCAAACCAAACATGAAACAATCAAATTAAATAAAAAAAATAATAAAGTAAGAGGTCTAGATTCCAACTTTCCAGAAGTGGAACTCCGTCTTCTTCAGTCTAAACCTGACCTCCTGTTCCTATCTGAAACATGTATACCATTGCAGGAGCAATCTCAGTCTGATCATCCATTATAACAAAATACAACCACCTAAATAGCCATGATCACAGGCTTGGTGCCTACAATGAGGACTGGTTTCCCTGTGGCAGGGACACAGAAACGAAGACTCTGATATCGTATACGTGTTTCTGCATTGCACTTATCTATTGTACCACATTCATCTTTGCCCTGTATCATCCTCAGGATAAAGGGTCAGTAATCTTCAATCAATTATTAGAGAGGATTGATAATATCCTCAACGAATATCCCTCAGCCAACTTTCACATATGTGGTGATTTCAATGTTCACCACAAAGAGTGGTTAGTCCACTCTAACAAAACCAATGGGGAAGGCAGATATTGCAGAGACAGCAGGCAAACATCCTCAACCTTTTTCTAACATTCTGCCCTGAAAAATGCTCAGCAAAAGTTTTAGCCCCCATTGGCATATCAGATCATTCCTAATGTCCAGATTGACTCCAAACCAATTAGCTCCCCTGATTTACCATTCCACAGAACTGTTTTTCACTATGCATGGGCAGACTGGTACAGCTTTCAGGCTTATACGACAGAAGCTCCTCTCTCAAACCTTCAAACTGCTGCCCTAATCTCCAAATGGATCCTTTCTGGAAATCATGTTATACATTCTGAAAATTGACAGTAAAATGATTCAAGATAATGGGAAAAATCTTAAATATTAAGGTTCCTCCTGTAAAAAGCCCAGGAGACACTCAAAGTAGAGGGTTATAATAAGATGTAGTTTATATAGATAGGAGAGGAAGATAACTGTTGAATAGACTTGAACAGGTTATGATTGTAGTGATTGCGGAAACAACTTGCCAATCGAATACAGAGGGGAATGTGGATGGTTTACTACAATGTGAATGGCATGGCAAGTCCTTGCCATGCAGGTTTATCTTGGCAAAACCAAGGAAAGCAGTCCAAGCACTTCATTTCCAGAAAATACCAGAAGTCCTATTTCTTCTATTTTCTTTAATGCTTTTTACTGATTTCCTTTCAAAATGTTGTGCATATTTTCTAATCCAAGAAGAAAAGTAAAATCATGGATTTCAGACTAATAGAACAATACTTGCATCTGGTAATAAATTCAAGCTGTTACTAACTTTAGAAGATGGTAGTAAATTGGGGGAGGGGGGAGGTTTAGAAAATAATAAAAAAATTGAAAACTTATATTCGAGCTTCTTTAACCAATACTTTTCCTGACTTAATTTCTGGAAATGAAGTGCTCGGACTGCTTTCCTTGGTTCTGCTAAGATGAACCTGCATGGCAAGGACTTGCCATTCACATTGTAGCAAACCATCCACATTCCCCTCTGTATTCCATCGGCAAGAAGATTCACTCAAACAGCTTCTTCCCACAAACCACTGCCCTATGGAACAAACTTCCAAGTTGTTTCCGCAATCACTACAATCTTAACCTGTTTAAGTCTAGAGTCAACAGTTATCTTCCTCTCCTATCTATATAAACTACACCTTATCATAACCATCTACTTCGAGTGTCCCCTGGACCTTGTACAGGGGGAACCTTAATATTTAAAAAAAAAAAAAAAAAAAAAAAAAAACGGTAAGAGCACATCAAGTGTTTGAAGAATTACATAAGATTTTTTTTCCTTTATCTTGAATCATTTTACTGTCAATTTGCAGAATGTATAATATGATTTCCAGAAAGGATCCATTTGGAGATTAGGGCAGCAGTTTGAAGGTTTGTATAGGTAAGCTATCCAAGGAAAAAGGGAAGAGTGAATCTCCCTGAAAGTTTTCTGTTCCCCAGTGTAAACTAACAACTGCAGAATAAATCGGAGTGTTATGATAAAAAACAACAAAAATAATGTGAGAAATAATCATAAAAATTTAATCAAAATAACAGTGTTTCATCTAATAATAAAGAAAAATATTAACGTTTGTATCCATGTAGCAATTAAACCTGTCAAAAATACTACTGTTCTTCAAGAAGGAAAATCAAAATCCATTTACATATAGTCATCCTATTTTTTTTTTTTAATGAATACCAGATGTGAACAGTGACAAAGAAGAAAATTCAGGCAATACTAATGGATTCAGCAAAATCACAAATATTCAACTTCGAATGACATTACACTAAAAATGAAAATGAGAACTGAAATCCATGTACATGTGATTATGACCAGACCAAGCTTACAAGTTGCTGTCACAAGCAAGAGTCTAAAAATCAATGATGAAGAGACAAAAGGAAAAGCAATTACTTTTATAATTTAGACAACACAAATTTTGCAGTGAAATGTTTGCAGAAATTACAAAAAGCGTTCCATATTCTGCAAATGGCAGATTAATGATTTGATTGATTAGTTTTCTATGCTAAAAAATATTTTTAGATTGTAATTTTTTTTTTATTTTTTTTTAAGATAATGGTTTAGTGATACAAGTCTTACTAATTAAGTAGTGGTGGCAGAAGAGGTGGATTTATACCTTTCCCAAGGATATTTGCATGCAAGTGAATATAACAAACCAAACTTCTCTGATTAACAATTCCAAGCCATTATCCATTACACCACCTGCACACCCAAGTTTACAGCATTTGGTATTCCTAAGTTGTCACCCATCTAGGTACTGACCAGGCTTAACTTTGGTGATTTTACAAGAACAATATGATGTAGCCGTAATGTTAATGCCATCTCAAAAACACTAAGCATCAATGTTACATGCATGCTCTCTCTCATGCACACACACATTATAAAGAAAGACATATGGAATCTAGGAGTGAAATCAAAGAAACAAAAACAATTCATTTGCATACTTACTGTTCGCATGCATTTGTAGCCATAATAATCTTTAACACATGTACAAGTAGCTGAACCAGGTCCAGCAGTTGTACAATATGCATTGGGAGGACAAGTTACTGAAAAGAAATATATAAAAAACAAAGATGACTTAAACAGAAGAAATAAAATCCAACATGCACACACTTAAACATTGTTTAAAATTATTAATTTTGGAAAAAATCTTTTTCTTTTTGCTTTTTAATAATATTTGAAGTTGAGTTTTCAGTCATTCAAAGCAACTTTATTTTGATTTCTTTGTTTACTTTAATGGCTGAAACATTAGTCAAGAAATAGGATAAAATCAACAAGATGAAAAAAAATTGACTGTAAATTAATAACGACAATACTTAATCACAAAGCAATTCTTTTTAGACATTGTTTTAATTTTTTTTTTTTTTTTACATAAAACCATTTAATGACTTAAGCTAAAAGCATGGAAGAAAATGTTTGTATAAAAAAGAAAAAATATTTCTATATTTTAAAAACAATAAAAAAAAAAAAAAAAAAACTTTCTTTAAATGTTAGCAAAATATTCTTATCTGATTATCCAACAAACAACATTCTAAATTAAGAAACACTTTATTTAAAAAAAAAAAAAAAAAGAGAGAGAGATTAAAAAAAATAAACATTTTCTGAGATTAAATTCTATCTACAATCAATTTATTACAAAGATAAATAATCTTAAAGATAAATGTTTCTTTTTATTTGATATTTGTGACTGAATAAACCAAAAATAATTACAAAGTTAAACAACTTTTTATCTGATAAAAGATAAATTTAGACTCAAAGTAGAGCCACACTTTCAGTTGAGAACATTCAAAAATAAATGTCAGTCTCTTGTAGTCAAAAACTCATGGAAGCAAGTTACAATCCCATTTTGGATTCGGGTTGATCTATATATTTTTGTAAATATGTGTTTCTTGAACACAATCAAATATGGCTATTCCCAGATTGTACTTTCAAAGGATTTTCTTGTCCAGTGAAAAACTAACAACTTTGGAAAAAGATAAAAGAACATTTGAAGTTCAAGAAAAAAAAGGCATGTCAGTCATTTTGTTGTAATTAGGGGGGCAGGTTCTTTAATTTTACAATTTGTCTAATTAAGATTAAAACAATATATTCAACAACCTTTATTTAAAATGACAGTAGCCATAGAAAAATCAACCTAAAAAGCTGTTGCTTTTTATTGTTAGCCACAATAAAAATCAACAGCTTTTGTCTATATTCCAGCAAATGAAAATATGAAATACTAATGCAACAAGGATAATTTTTTTTTCTGGAATGCAGCTCCTGTTCTACTTTTGAAGTCAAAACAGAAAATCTATTTTCAATTGTTTCTTTTCATTCAACCAAAGATTTTCATTCTGACATTCAGATTTTCACCTATTGTTACAAAATGGTTTGCTATAATTATCATGTCACTTATTTTTGGATACGTTTCAGAGAATCTAATGAAGAATGACAAGAGGAACTGATTTTCAGATTTCCTCGTTTTCATCCACAGTCAGTTTAAAGGGGAACTTTCAGAAAGCAATTTATCTGAAAAACCGACAGAAGAAATATACACTGATCTAATGTCCTTATCTTGGTTGTTATAGAGTCAAAATTTCATTCTGTTGTATCCTCCAGCTAGCTTCAGGTTTCTGTCATATTAGGTCATCTAGAATCTTTTCACTGGACACTTTATTCAGTGTACATGGATCAATTGGTCTTATTTTGTTGCCTCTGCTAGATGATATCTTATAGTAGTTGATTTCCCAATGGGAAACTATCCCTGTCATGCAGCACAATCTATTCCCATGAATTGAATCAACAATTTGGCTCAAAATTCCAGAATGTGACAGAATACAGTCATGTGAAGAAGGCTGAAGAGTGCAAGGACCAAAAGACTAACGATACCAACCAAGACGAGAACAAGGTCTGAATAGTGGAAATTGTTACAACAATAAATTTTCACCTATTACATTTTTATTCTGATGATGGTTAAGTACACCTAGTTAACAAGTTCATTCCATGCGTAAGGTAGTGAGTTCTTATTTACACTCGTTCAGGGTAAAAAGGACAAATTAATTCAGAAGAATCAACTGAAATATTATATCTCCCCAAAAACATAAATAGTAGAATGGGAACAATCTACTTTTATGGATGGAATAAAAAATTTTGTTCAAAATGCGATTTCAATACACCAGACACTAGAAGAAGGCCGAAGAATTAAAGGGCCAAAACAGTATGAATTTTAAAAAATTACATAACCATTAATTTGAAATGATATGTATAGATATAATGGTTATTAGTACAAATAATGGAATTTGCAACCAGAGTTCAAATCCCAGCTAAGGCTATTTATGCTCACTTCTCATTAAGAAAAGGCTGAATATCTCTTAAGCACACTGTCCTATCTTCAAATAGATAGTCTGGATAAAAATCAATGGCATAACTGAGAGAGAAAATGTTGGGGAGTTAGTATAAGTATAAAATATACTTTAGTTAGTATGAAATATAACAACTACTTTACTTGCAGTAGCAAAACATGAGAAAAAAATAGCTGTTATCCCCCATTGTCAGCCTCAACAAGAATCAAATACATATTTGGAATTCAATATTGAATATAGACATTAAATACTAACAGCATAGTAAAGGGCAATATTTGAATCAAAAATATGAAGACATTAAATTTAGCTAAAAACCACAAGAAACAAAAAATTAAATTGAAAATTGTAAGAATTCCCAGTAGTATTAATATTTCACCCATCTTCATCAGATTAAAAAGGGATTGTCAAATTTTCAATATGAGGAAGTCAAAACTAGTTCAATTTCTATGACATCCAGTACATTCTCAAAATTCAACAAAACTAAACTGAAAGAGAATGGTGTCACACTGAAGAAACATTTGTCGCAATTTCTAGCTTTAAAGACCATTTTTATTTAAATAAAATAAAATAAAAACAAATCCTATGAATTACCTTTTTGCATACCAAATATCCTTCCCAATTTTATATTTTTATTTATTTTTTGACTATAACTTTATCACTTTGTGTAAAACGTATCAGAAAATATACTCAGAGTATTCATCCTTATTAACAGACTTTTCAACCAAATTGGTATGCATTTCTGTTCACCAACATATGGATTTGCATAAAAAAAGAAAAATAAGCCCACCTAAATTGAAAACTGAATAATTAAAAATATGTTTCTACTTACAATTATGAGATTTGCATGTATCTTCTTCATTGAAACACATTGCAATACTGTTCTGAACTTCTATGCTTTCCCATGATTGATTACCTCCAGGGCAGGTACCATTTAACAGTGGAAGATATCTAACAGAAAAGCATTAAATAAAAATTAACTTTTAATGAATCAAAATCCTACTAATTAGTATTTAAGCTAATTGGTCAATAACAATGCAAAATGCCTGAGCAACCTTCAAAACAAAAAATAAGTTAACATCTTCATAATAATATACTTGTAAAATCTGTAATAATTTTTACATCAGAAACAATCTGACAGTCATTTTTAAATCTGATGTAAATTTTTAGATAAATTCTTTCCTTTTTGCTGTACAATATTAGATATTAAAAAAGGTGGGATTACACTTTAAACTTATTTGCCAATCAATAAGTTTGCAGCCTAACAATAAAAAATATTACATAAATGTTTTTCAAGTCTTCTTTATCAATGCAGTTAATTCAGTGGTAAATATCAATCATACAGATTAAACATAATTCTGCTAATAATCATGTCGGACTATGGACTTAATGATTCATAAAATACAAACTTCAAAAGATGTCAAAAGTAGCAAAGAATTTTCGTTTGACACAAGTTTTGAATCATTAAGTCATTAAGTGTGTGTGTATATATATATATATATATATATATTGATTCCTGAAAATTCTAAATTATCTTGAAAAGAATTTTTTTTTTCAATTTTACACTAATGTATTTCTAAGTCAAAAGTAATTAGCATACAAGAAATAATTTTAATGTCAGTTTTAAATAAATTGATCAGTATACATGAATATACTTATTATTTAATCCTTAAAAAAAAAAAAAAAAAAAAAAAAAAAAAGAAATTCTAACAGTAAAATCTAAACAGATTAATATCATAAAATACAAACTTCAAAAGATGTCAAAAGTAGCAAAGAATTTCCGTATGTTTCATATTAAAAATAAATTAAAAGGACTAATACTTTTATTTTTATATACATTGCTAAAGCTTTTTGTAGCTAAGAATTAATAAATTCAAAAATCCTCATTACTTTGGCAAGTAAAGGGAGAGCATTTCTAGCAACCAACAAGAAGACAAGCAATTCTGCACAAGTGTAGAAAAAAAATCAATAAAAAGATACTCACAATTCTGTGAGGTTGGTCAGACCCACAAAATGCATGGCTTTAAATTTAGGAAATGGATTATTTTGCAACATTCTAAATAAAATAAAAAATAAAAAGTACCATGTTATTTAATCAAATATTAAATAACACAAAGGAAATTTTATTGATGATTATTAATTTCATGTCATTAAATATGGTTATACAATAATGGTCATGATATTAAATGACAAAAATAATTTTTTTTTTCATATAAACAATATTGAATTTCTATCTATAATTTTATTAACTGATTTTCAAGTCATTAGCAATTGATTGTGATAAAAATTTAAGTTATGACTAACATGTTGTTGTTGCTTATAAGTGTGACTTGAACATTTTGACAATGATTTTCCCCAACAATTATAGGCTTACAAAGAAAATTTTTAAAATGTTCTTAGTTTTTTTTTTTTCATTTAGTGAAGGTAAAAATACCAAGCATCAAAACTATAGACAATTCTTATATATGTGTGTATATATATATATATATATATATATATATATATATATATATATATATATATAATAAATAATCAGTCACAACTCTAGCTCATCAATGTTTGTCAGGCTAATTACAATCTTTAACAAAATGTACTATTGGTATAACTTAGATGCTAAAATGATTCCTTTAACTAAACTATATAATTTTAAAAAATCTGTACATGAAATATAAAAAAAAAAAAAATTTGGTATTTTAATATTAATTGTAATAATTCTATAAAAATAAACATTTATCTTGAATGTGTTTGTATATGTCTATGTTAATGTATCTCTGTCTGTGTATTTATGCACCACTGACTGATATATTTCCTCAACACTTACCCCAGTCACACTCCCCACCCAACACTCCAGTCATTTACCGATTTTTAGGTCGGGCTAAATTTAATTTGCCCTTTCTCAAAAGATACATTCAACTAAAATACCTTATACTGTACAGAATAAATTATTTAAAATTGACATTTGAAAACAAAAAGCTAAAATAAAAATATGTTCTTTGAAATACAGGGCATACAAGTCATTAGAGATTTTTAAAAGATTATTTATAAAATTAAAGCAAGAAATACATTGCTTATTCTAGTTCACATAGAGCTAAGACCTATGCAGCCCAACTTGGTACATTCATTTTATTTCATTCTTTAACTTTCTTTCTTCTTTATGACCAATATCAATGAAATTTATTTCGGACAATATTTTGAGGCACAGAGTTAAAACAATTAATTTTGTATCCATCTGAAGTCAAGAATGAAAATGATACACTATGAAAAATTTTTGTTGCTTTAAAATAGATATACTTGAATGTGGGTTAAGTCACTACTATATATATATATATATATATATATATATATAAATTGAGTGTGTCGTTAAAAGAAAGTAATTTTACAATTGTGAGGTGTTTTTTTGCTTTTTTAGAATATAAAGAATTTTTAGATAACCATCAAGAACTTGATGGCCTACCATTTGACAATTCCTCTAAATTTAAATCTAACATTTGCACGTTAGATGGAGGTTACAGTTTATTTAATCTGGAATACAAAGTAGAAGTATTTAACCTCTAGATATCAAAATATATCAAAAATATTCTTTTAAATGGATTTACAAAAAGAAAAAAATAATAAGATGTTATACTCACAAAACTTCAACACTGTTAAATGCTGCAAACATTTCTGCGTGTAGTTCTTCTATATCACAATTACTCAAATCCATGCTGAAATGAAAATTAAACACATATAATAGCCCTATTCAATAATGTTTGCCACTATTTCTGACCTATGACAATCCCTTTCTGATTAGCAATAGACAACTGAATGCAGAAACTTGCTAAACTACAGAGGAGAGATGCAAAACTTGCTTATTACACAAATAGGGCTATTAAGACAAGATATTAACTCGTATCAAAACAATTTAATCAACATGGCTTCTATTATTTTCAATTATAGCTTGATCCAGCCCTCACAAAGTCCTTGAGGATCTTAGCTCATTCCTTCTTGACAGCAGCCTTAAGGGTATTGATGTTAGTTAGAATGGAAAAGTGTGTTGGTGACCTGCTCTTAAACACAATGTAATCTCATGGATTCAGGTTCAAGTTAGAGGAAGGCCTGAAGTCTGCTAACCAGAAAGCAGCACAGTTAACTTTGTAGAACTTTTTCACTTTCTTGGCACAGACATTTTCTCCAAGCTTGTAGAAAAAATTGGAAATCTTTTTATCCCCAGTTAGAAGCCATAACAAGCAGACCATAACCTGGACTGAATGTCTGGTCCTGAATGAGCCCTTGAAATGAATTGTTGATTCTGCAATGTAGCAGTTGCTTCAGCTACCTTATTTTGATGTATTGTCTGGTGCAAAGTTTTTGTCTAAATTTTATTCCAAGTTTTGTTTCTCCAATATGTAAATGCTTCATCACAAATTACAAATCTATCAGGTCATCTCATAAGTTCTGTCCGAATTTTGAATAAAGAAAACAAGTGACCAAATGTTACATTTAATTACACATTCAATCAACAATGTATTTTCCCTGATTATCTATGACTTCCTTCCATCTATTAACAAGCTTACTAATTCCATTACTGTAAAATTCTTTTGGCTTTGATTCGAAGAACTCACAAATGTCAGTTTTAACCTCTTCCTGTGTTACAAAAGCTGTTTCTTCCAAATGATTCTGTATGCTACAAAACAAATGGTAGTCTGAAGGAGCAAGATCAGGAGAATAAGGTGGATGAGGAATTTTCTCCCAACCAAGTTCTTCGATCATTTGTGAAGTGATTCTTGCTGTGTGTGATCGCGCATTGTCCTGATGAAACATCACCTCTTTTTGATTCACTAGAGCAGGTCTGATTTTCCTCAAAGCTTGGTTCAAATGCTCTAATTGCTGACAGTATATTTGAGCATTAACGGTTGCATTAGGTGGTAAAAATTCAAAGTGGATTATTCCTTGGCGATCCCACCAGATTGAAAGAAGAATCTTTTGCCCATGAAGTTGCCTTCTCGGCTGTGGCTGGGGTCCTGCCCCTTTACCAAGCCACTATCTACGACACTTAACATTTCGATAAAAGATCCATTTTTTGTTGCCAGTCACATGTATATCCAAAAAAGGTGAAACAAGTTGGCAAGAATGGAGAGAAGAGCAGATGTCAACTCGGGAGTTGAGGTTATTTTCAGACAATTCATGAGGCACCCATTTTCCAAGTTTAGGAACTTTTCCAAGCTGTTGAAGATGACGATGAACAGTTGTATGGTTTGAACTGAGAACTACTGCCAATTCCTCAACTGATAAAGCAGGATTTTCTTCAAGGGCTGCTTCAAGAAGCTTTTCATCAAACTCAACTGGACGTCCGGTTCGATCTTCATCTTCAAGGGTGAAATCTCCACCTCTGAATTTTGCAAACCATCTTCTGCAAGTTCTTTCATTCACATATTCCTCTCCATAAACTGAGTGAATGTTTCTAGCCGCTTCAGCTGCTGAGTTTCCTTTTTTGAACTCAAAGCATTATGTGCCTCAAATGATTCTTGGGTACTTCCATGTTAGCAGGGTTTTAATCAAACAAAATTTAATTTTATTGTTCTCTGAAATAAAATTTGATCAGTTTAAATGCATCTAAACCTAAAAATAATGTTCAGCTCCATTAAAGATTATAAAATACTCTTTAAATTTCGTTCATTTTAACAAAAAGTTAAAATTCGGACAGAACTTATGGGATGACCTGATAGTATTTAATCAACTTTTTTTCTTCCTCTACAAATGGAAATATTTAGTTTATTATTGTATAAAATGATACTGCAAGAGAACAGTGGTAAAGTCAGTGGGTAGCAACAAAAACCATTGGTATATGGAAAGTGCTAAAATACAAGAGGATTTTTTAATATTTTTCTATTATATGGAAGTTTTATCATATTTAATATACTTTCCACATGATCTAAGTGGTTGTATAAACAAGTAAAAGAAAGTTTTTAAACTGTTCAGAGATGTTGAAACAGGAATATATATTGGTATCACCACAAGCAAGGCAGTAATGCTACTAAAAACACAAAGGGTTACAGAGTGTAGAAGAATTAGAATCAATAATGATGAGCAGAAAGAAGAAAAAAGTAATCAGGACATTGCATTTAAGTTTTTGCAGATGAAAGTTGGATGGAAAGCAGGAGCTGGAAAGGAGTTCAACAAATGAAAAGTGTGAGAGACGAAACAGTTAGCATAGAATTTATGGCTCTCATTTAACCAGTTTATTTATAAACTGAGATATCAACACTAATCTAGTGCCGCGCTTAAATTTAAAAAGGCTGGATACCACAGCAAAGAATTCATCTGAACAATTACCATGAAAGTATTTATAGAAAAGACAGAGAGGCAACCTTATAGTGGTAGGAATGTGATTGGAGCCAAGCCACCAGATCAGGACCAATAATATTGCAGATTCTTCTTTGGATCTAATCAAGCAGCTCAAGGTAAATAACAGGGACACCAGACCATATGTAGCAGCAATATTCTAAGCATGGCTGAATGGTAAACTTATGGGTATGCAAGATAGATTCAAGGGAAAAGAATTGTCTTGCCCAACATAGTAAACTGACTTCCTTAGCAGCAGACCTAACAATGGATTCAATATAGTCTTTCCACTTCATATCAGCAGAAAGCATGAGTCTAAGAAGGTACAATGAGTCACTTCCCTGGAGGTTAGCATCAGCCATGATGACGGAAGGTAGCAAGAGGTCTTTCAGATGATTAATGAGATAAGTTTAGTTGTGGAAGCATTAAAATTAACAAGCCATCTTTTGCCCTAGTTAACAATGGACTTTTTATATGATAATCTTGTAATTTATATATATATATATATATATATATATATATATATATATATATATATATATATATATATATATATATATATATATATATATATATATAGATTTTTATCTATTAAATAAGATGAGAGAATTTGAATGTTTATCTAAACGTAATTCTCTTTCTGTTCCTGGATGCAGGTCTTTAGATCACATGAAGTCTCCCCAGTGTACATGTTATTGGAGAGACTTCATTTGATCAAAAGACCTGCAGCCAGGAACACAAGATATTTGTGTTTAGATAAATGTTCAAATTCTTACACTACAACAACGTAGGACATAACTTTAATCTCACCAATGCCTGTCTTATCAAAAAAAACATAACCCTTTAAAGAGAAAATATTATAAAAATATATTTATAGCAATATTACCAAATATTAACATGTTTAAAAAATGACATTACATCACCATTTTTCTACAGATCCATTATTCATGAATTTAACTTCCAAATACATAAAAATCAACATATATACAAAATATGCATGAGATACACTTTAATGAAAAATTCTAACCCCAAAATTTTTTCAAAACATCCTGCAGCATCTAGGATCTTTTCTTCCACTTATTTGAATATTATCTGTTACTTCATTACATGTGACATATATCCAAGCAATAAGAAATAGCCAAACACAACATACCATTAATCTGCATCTCTTTGCCTTTTATCATTTTTATCTCAATCTCTGACAAAGCTTTAATAAAGTAAAACATGTCAGATTAAGATCTGTTTCTTACTTGTTCTTTATCATATCATTTTATCAGATACTTATCCATGCTCCCTCTCGTATATTGTTGGTGAGTCCATAATACATAGATTGCATATGCCCCACCAATGCACCATTTCATCAGGCTCAAGTTGTCCAGAATTGATTTAAAGAGTATTCTGGAGATTCAGTGTAATGTTATGCATTAATAGTTTGCTCAGATTTGCTTCTCTAGGTCAACTAATATACTAACCATTATTGCTGAAACAGGTCATTAAGCTTTAAATAAGAATGGTGAAGCTCAGGCTGTTCCTTTGGACATCTCAAATGCATTTGACATACCAGTCTTCTTCACAAGTTGAATTTTTATGGAAAAATTTTTGAATTTATGCAGTCTTTCTTATGAAATCATGAAATGAAAATTGTCCTGAATGGACACTCATCTAGAACATTTTGTACTAATGCAGATGTGCCCACTAGGGTTCTATCCTTGGACCTATGTTCTTAATTTTCATCAATGACTTTCCTGATGACATCAGTTCTTAACTTGACATCTATGCTGATAACACAATCATTTACTCCTGTCTCAATAGTAAGTCTGATCAGGTCAAAATGGCAGCAGCTTCTGAAAAGATGATCTACAGTCTGTTGTTAATTGAGGTAAGGGATGGCATGTTAATTTTAATGCCTCCAAAATGAAACTTGTCTCTTAATCATCTGAGAGATTCCTTTCTGCCTCCCATCAGCATGGCTAATGTTAAGCTCCAGGAGAGTGACTCATTGCACCTTCTCAGTCTAACATTCTTGGCTGACAAGAATTTTTCTCTCCAGAATCTTTCTTACATATTTATAAGTTTACCATTCATATTTGTCTTGAATATTGCTGCCACATATGGTCTGGTGATTTTGCTATATATTTAGAGATTCTTGATAAAATCCAAAGAAGAATCAGCAATATTATTGGTCCCAACCAAGTAATTAAGATACATTTATTGTAAGTTCTATGCTAAGTTTCTTTTCTCACACTTCTCACTGGTGGAACTCTATTCTGGTTCCATGCTTTCAAGACAAAGATGATCTTCAAAAATTTGAAGGCAATATCAATTGTTATTTTGTCTTAATTCCTGTTCTTTTATTGTCCTCTCTCTCCTTAATAGTAGTTTTTCTAACACTAATCGTTATCTAGTCTTAATTACTCTTCTGTTGTTCTCACTCCTTAATGTTTCTCTTTTTTTCTTATTCTTTCACACTTGTGGCTTTACTGCCTTAAAAAGAAAAAAATTATTCCTCCATTATGTTTAGATTGAAATGTTGAAAGTTGTTCTAAATCCAGACATGATTTTCTTCTCAAAATAAATTAATTTTTCATTACTAGTGACTATCTTGCTAAAAAATGACTTCAGTGGCTTCACTGGTGTTTCTTTCTCCAAGTTTATATGGAACACATTTTCATACTTTCTGAAATTTTTCTAAAGCTAGTGACGTGTGGGGGCTTCTAAAAATAAGCAAAATCATTTTTAAAAGATTTAATCTTTAAAACATGAAATTCTCGTCTATTTCAAAGTACCATCAATGCTTTTGTTCAAACATCTTTTTCCACTGCTGGAATTTCTCACTTTTCATTGGAGATATTGTCCAACTAAAAAGTCATATGGAGCAAAGTCTGGTCAATAAAGTGGCTGGGTATAATCATCATATTGCAATTGTTAACATACTAAAAACCATGTGCGTAATGTCACTGTTATGGTAAAGGATCTAATCACAGCTATTGCACATTTTTAGGTGATTTTCTCTGCATATTCTTGCACAATCTTCAAAGGACCTCCAAATAAAACTGCAGATTCAATGTCAAAGAAGAAGAAATAACTTGTGTATGATCTCCTTCTCATCAAAATCTTCACAAATCCCATTCACATCTTCTTAGATTTTGGCAAATTGTGTTTTTGTTTCTTTATCAGATCATAATGAACAATGATTCACAACTTTGTTTCCTCAAATCATGGCACACATTCAATAGCTTGTTTTTTTTGTTTTGTTTTTTTTAAATCATCTGTTAGCAAATAAAGTACACATTTTGCAGAAATTAATTTTATTTTCAAATAAAGTTTGTTAACACACACTAACAAGAATTCTAATACCAACCACTCAAAAATTTATTACTTTGATAATTTTCATTGATTCTATGGAAATCATTTTCAAACATTTTACCTATAGAGAAATGCAAATAGCATTCATATATTTGAAGTTTACCTAGAACTCCTTAAAGCATTACAATTCAACAGCAAAAGAAAAAAAAACTTCACACATTTTTATCAGCCATTATAAACATCACCAAAACAGGATTACAAATACAAAGGCCACAGAAAACAAATCTGTCAATTCAGAATCTTATCATATACCAGATTAGCTCAGAATAGTGTTGACTAATGACACCTAACAGTATATGTAACTACATCATATATATATATATATATATATATATATATATATATCTCCATCCAAACAAGTGCATGTGGTATAATTAATGTGTGCATATATTAGTATAAGAAAAATTAAAATAAATAACAAAAATTGTTAAAAAAAATAAATAAATTTCATTCTTTTTTACGGCCTGTTAATAACTGTTACACGATATCATGCTTGACTATTCCAAATTTCCAGCTTTCCAAAGAATACCAGAAAGTGGACAAAGGAATTGAAACTACTACCCAGACTCCACATCAGTTCTTGATAATGACTGTGATGGCTGAAAATACTTGAACAAACAACGACAAAAGACAAAATTCAGACAGTTTATCCACGACTTCAATCACAATACTTAAAAACCTAATAAGAAAAAAATTAAACAGGATCATTTTAATCAAAATTGTTTGGATGAATACTTGCTGTATAAATATACCTTATTCATATAAGATTATTGCAAAAGTTTGTGTCCAATTTTCATTGTTAATATAAAATGACCACAACTTGATATTGGTATCAATTTCTTGTGTTCTACATTGAAACCTTGTAATGTTCAGTTGCAAGTTAGACTTTGCTGACTGTTAATATTTTGTCTACATCCTTAAAATGGATGAAAATTGCACTTCAACCAATTACGAATTTCAGAAAGCGGTAAGCACTGGAACTGCAAAAAGAACATTCAAACTCCAACTCTTTGGAAAGTCAAAAAGTTGTTTGGCAGATTTCATCAGGGTGATTTTTTAACCTGAATGATCAATCATGCTCCTGGCGATATTTGACATCATTGAAGACTCTCTGCTTGCTATTTGTTTCCAAACTCTACACATGGATGCCACATTCTCTGACAGAACAGAACAAGCTTGATCATGTTTCTGTGGCAATTTCTTTGCTGTTACACCACGAAAAGGAGCTGTTCTTGGACAGAATTGTCACAAACAATGAAAAATATCCCAATGAAACCCATTATATCAGGAATACCACACACATACACAAACTAGCCAGAACACTATCCAAAAATTTTAACCACACTTCTTGGTACAATTAACTCCTTGCATAAAAAAAAAGAAAAAAAACTGATCTTCTAAATAAATAAATAAAAAAAACAGACATCAAAAACATGATTTAGATATAAAATATTTATACACAAATATTCCTGTAAAGAAATGCCTAAATTTACTAAAAACACATTTAATAAAGATAGAATTACCTATTCCTACACATAAGATCATAAAAATGTGCCATTTAATCACTAATCAATGTTTTTTCACCTTCGATAACAATTTTTATAGGCAGAAATTTGGTTTACCAATGGAGTCTCCCCTTAATGGTGTCTTGGTTTGTCTATTTTTTTTAAAATTACTAGAAAGCAGTCCATTTAAAAATATTTTACCACAAAATTCTTATTTTAGATTCTCTATTAATATATCCACATGACATAGTTAACAAAATCAAGTAAAACTAATTTAATAATGTTGTACCCACAATAGATTTTACCCTTGAATTTGTGGGTAATAACACTTTAACTTTCCTAGATATCATGTTACATAGAACTAATTACTGTCATTTGGAGGTTTACAAAAAATCTACCAACAAGAATGACCTTACCAATTTCTATTCTCATCATTTTAAAAGAATAAAATCTGGACTAATATATGAAACATATGAATGATTAAAATGTTCATAATCAGTGATAATAACTAATAATTGATAGATGCACACATGAAAAATAATACAAGATTGCCTGGGATACTTTTATACTCATTAGTCTAAGTAAATGACAATTATTTAAAATTAAAATGAACATTTGTAAAAGTAGACAAAGACCTACATTAAATTGAACCAGGAGGACAAAACAGAAATATCATTCTAAAAATTCAAATAGAAAAGTTTAAAAATGATGCAGAAATTCAATACAGCACCATATGACTATTTTCTGTAATTTTTAGAGGAAGTGTTCTTTATTAAAACCCTGTTATATTTAGTTACAGATTCACAATTCACAAGGTTTAAATGAATTTTTAAAAATGAAAAATCTTTCTTGAAGTTTTTATTTTAGTTTTAATTTCAAGCTAATAGATCAAATTTAATATTTCCAATAACAAAATACTATGCTCTATTTCAAAACTAATTTAAATTGATTGCAAAGAGTTTTCATTTTGAAATTTATAAAGGGTTAAAATTTAGCATCATCTCTAGCAAACTGTTATAAAAATGTAATTCTCTTTATTAAAATATTTTCCAAAAATAAAATTGGAATGTTTATACACATAAAAACAATACAAAATTCTTTTTAAAAATACTCTGGGTTGTCAGCTTTACATTATATGATTAGTAAATATAGTTTTATTTAATAACAATGACAATATTCTCTAACATTGAAACTGAATTTTAAAAGACTTGAAAATTTTGTAAATTATTCTAATTGTAAAAAAAAAAATTTTTTTTTAAATTTTTTAAAACAATATTATCCTTAATATATATTATTCATAAAAGCAATTAAAATCTTTTCTAATTAAATAATATCTTAGTTTTACTGCATTTTTTAGTTTATGATTCAGAGCAGATTTTATAAAAATAAAAATTGATGATTTAAATTCTCCAAAGTGTTCTGCTTTTAATTAATATAGTCACTAAAAATTATCTTGCAAACTTTCTCTACTTTTCATAAAATTAAGTAAGTGTGGCGAAACATGTAAAAATAAAAAATAAAAATTAAGTGGGGTAAAACAATGTCATTAAAGTAAAACAGCACATGAAAATCTTTATAATAAAAAAAGGTAAAGAAATTTACAAACCCAAGTGTAATGTTGCTAGTTCCATTATAATGTATGCAGCATCTTCCATCCATCATCAATTCTTTCCTCTGACAGTAAGAAAGAACTTGGGAATTATTTTGCACAGGTAAGCAACTTTTCCGTTTGCAAAATTTAACATACTGTAAAGAAAAAAAAATCAGATAAATACAAGTTTATGAACAATTATTACATCTACAAAGGAGAAATTAATAGGTTACAAAAAAATTAAATGACTACAAAAATAAGATATAAAACAATTGAGGCTTATATAAATCTATGCCTCCCACCACCACTTACATACACCATAATAAGATAACCAGAGTACAAATATAATAGTCATAATCATGACTTTCTCTCCAATTATCTACATGTTATAATAGTTTTACCCTTTGAAATTTTTAGAGAAATAATTATTACCACTAGAATAACTCCAAAGGTAAATGCCTATTTCACTATAGGAAACCCATGATACTAGAAGTGGATGCTAGTGTTATGACTGTAAATAAAGCCACAGATCATTTTGCCTTGCTAGAAATCAGAGTAACAGTCTGGAAAATGGCATCTGACATGAAAGTTCATATAAAGCAGAGATATATTGAATTCTTCATGCAGAAAAAAAATTTAATCATTTCATCTCAAGCAATGCAATAAAGCCACTAAGACAAGGGTTTATGGAGTGTGAAAGAATATGAGAAAAGAAAACATTATTAAAAAGAAAGAACAAGAAAAAAACAGGAAATAAGACGGATAATGATTGACATTGGATTTAAATTTTTGAAGATCAAAGTTTACTCAAAACAGGAGGCCAAAAAAGTTTCCACAAGAGAAGAAAAGCCATTTTAATTGTAAAATGAAGAGACCTAACTGCCAATCTAGTAATTGGTAACCTTCTCAGAATTTATTCAATTGTCAGTTAATCTGCTCTAGTCTATATCCTTGTGCTGCTTATTCATTTCTTCCACTGAACTAAAGTATATAACTTTTTCTGCACTACTACGACTAACAACTGCCAGGAAAAGAGACATGCTTTAACTAATACATTAAGCCATGTATCTCTTGGATAATCCAGTCTTTTTGAAGATTTAAATCTAATGTCAATGCTCAGGAGTGGAATTTTTGAGCATCCTTTCTTAATCAGATGCTTCCATATGGTGTCTATCATGATGCTAGGTCTACTGAGGAGGTTGTCATAGTTTTTTAGTTATCTTAACCTTTCTGTATTATCTTGATTTCGTTACACATGATAAAAGCAGAGAGTACAGCAGACAAAATGTAAGTACAACAAGGATGAATATGCTGGAAATATAGAAAGGAATAATTCCTCATCTCAAAAGTTCTGACATAAAACATAGTTTTAGTCTGTCACTGCTTCATTCACTATTTGTACCAGATTTTGATACAAAGGAATTTTTCCAACAGGAACCTCTTTTTGCTTTTCACAATGTTCACCCTATAATAGGGCCCAAGATTAACCCCCTTTCCTATAGAAAGGAGCAGAGTTTATGGGCATATGTGAGGAAGATAACTCTAGTTAACCCTAGGCTTTAACAGATTAAGATTGTAGTGATCAGGAAAGCATCCTCTTGGATGTGGGAAAAACTTCTTGAGTAGAACTTACATTTCACCAAAAATAATTAAAAAATTAATCAACAGTGAAAAGAATAAGTTACCGAAAACCAAAGAATGCAGATTTATATGCAATATAATTAGGCATCACCAAAATAGATAATTTTTTTTTCAAAATGAAAGAGAAAAAAAAAATTTTTAAAAATGCCACTGCCCCATTTTTTTAAATTTATTAAAAATCAGGATTATCCAATTTAAATAAAATTTTCAGTACTTATTCAATGAGGAATGAATAATAAACTGAATATGTTATGTTATGTTATCAGAAAACTAAGATATATTTTGATACATTGTGAATACTTTTAAAACTAGGGGCTGATGACATATTTCTTATAATTTATAAAGAGAAATCCCTGAATATATTATTTCTATAAAACATTTTTGCAATGTGTGAATATCTTGAAAATTTGTCCTGAAACCTTACTTAAGTAAGTTGATAAAATTCAAAAATAATTTTGTTGAAAATTGGCACTTGCATAATTTAACAAAATACATTTTCTTTCAGATTGGACAGGGCAAAAAGCCTACAATGAATATTTATTTTTGAAAAATTTACTTGCAATTTTTCAGCGTGATTTTAAAATGCTTCTGTTTTCACAAAAAATATTTTTTTATTAAATGTTGATATGTTTGAAGAATTGGGAAACTTTCAACTGTGAAATAGTTTTAAAAGAATTTTCTTTTTGCAGTTTCTAAATTATTTTTTATAAAGATGATCTAATGATCTAATAGGAAATAATTCTAAAATTCCGAATTACCTCCTAATTAATTATATAAGGTTCAAAATAATTATGTGTGATATCTGGAGGTGTTTAGATTTGATATTGGTAGCTGAAGAAAAGCAAGAGAAAGTAATCAATTAATCATGTCAAGTCAACCTTTTGTTGATTCTCACCAGTTGTTTTTTTTCTTTTATAGTAGGACTTTCCTTTGTTGAATAAATTTTCTTAAAATAATTAAAAAGTAATTTTTTGGTAGTTTCAGTCATCTGTATTTATTAAAAGTTGAGGCAGTGGGTGTGGCTTGCTACTGTATGACCTATGTATTGACAGGTAGCATATACCTTGCTCTGTTCAAAAATGATTTTCACTATAAAATCATAAAATTTCAAAATTTCTAATAATCCTTTAATTTTCTTCGAAACAAATATCTAGGACAGATATTTGATTTTTAAGTAGGTATCACCACAGATTCTTGATACCTAAGGTTTAAAATTAATTTTTTTTAAAAATCCTTCTTTAAGGTTTTTAGTTTTAATTTCAAGCAATAGATTTTATATTTCCAATGAACAAAATACTTTGCTATATTTCAAACTAATTAAAGATGACTGGAAGTAGTCTTCATCTTGAAATTGCTAAAATTGCTGATTTTAGCACCATTTTATAGCCACAATTAATTAAAAACACTTTAAAATTTGTATTAAAGAATCTTTCAAAAAATATACTTTCTGAAACTTTATTTGAGGAATATTAAATGATTTAAAGTTTAATTAATCTGATTTGGAACAAATATTACTTACTTTTAGTTTATAGCAGAAATATATATTTTTTAACACTGCAGTAGCTGCTTATATAGTGTTTTTATTTAAAAGATGTAAAAGAAAAAAATACGAAGATTGTCTATAAAAAAAAAAAAAATTTAAAGTAATTTATTTGTGACTAAATCTTTTAAATTGTTATTAAAAATAAAATCCGAAATTATTTGATTTTTCAAGAATTTCCAAATCAATGTTTTTCACCGGAAAGAAAAAAAAAAAAAAAAAAAAAAAAAAAAACGCTAAAATTTCATAAGTTTAGAACTTTAGCCACTGGGCTAAGAAAAAAAAAAAAAAACTTTTAAAAAATGAAAACTTTAACCAAAATTTCTAACTTTCTTAAAAACTTCTTTTGTTTAAATTATTAAAGATTTTGAGGATAAAACTGTTTTTAAAGTAGGGTCAGTTTTATTTTCATCAAGGTATACTAATTTTTTTAGCGAATCCGCAGGTACCTATTTTTAACTAAAAAATAGGTTAAATTTTCTATCATTTTTTTCAATCCTGGTGGATCGATGATAAATTGACCGTGAGAACGTTTTTAAGATGTTTTATAAGTATTGAAGGTTTTTGTTTTTTTGTTTTTACTAAAGGAGACATTTAAAAATTAAAATGGAATTGCATTATGTGTAAAAAAGCTTAATTCTTTGGGATTTATATTTAAATAAAAAAAGTCTTTGTTGTAGTTTTGAGACCCAAAACAAGTTATTATGAATATTTTTTTTTTTTTTATTAGATTAAAATTTCACACAATATTGCTAGAAAAAAGGCCTGAAAATTTTACGCTTGGTTAATAATAGCCAATTTACTAGTTCGTATAGAAAAAACACGAAGTTTTCTTGTTTTCTTTAAATACATGTCCGAATGTCTTAACAGAAAAATACCAAAAAATCTGAATAGAAAAAAAAAGTATTAGCTTTAGCACTTTTTTAATTTTATTTTTAGAAAATAGAATCAATTATCTTATTCTTTTACAGTACTGTGACTAGCGTTTTTAAAATTTAAGGGAATGTTTTCATAATTAAAGAATTAATAAAAACTGAGCGCTCAGTAATTTGCATTTATTATAGAAATAAAATGGAACGTCTGGTAAGTAGGAAATCTGAAAAATCAAAATCAATAAAAAAAGATATTTTCAATTTAAATTCAAGAACCAATATTAAACATGGTAAATGCTAGGCGATTTGATGCCAAAAAGAATTTTTAAAAAATATCTTTTTGATTCCACAAACTTTACAAAATAATCATGCATCATAACACGACTTGTGACATTGATTTGTACAGTGTAACCCGGATATAAGAGAAACCCGGATATAAGAGAGGTTTTCTCTGGTCCCAAATTAGAGCCTGTGTAATGTATATAAAATAGACCAAACCCGGATACAAGAGAAACCCGGATATAAGAGACTTCTTCTCCGGTCCCGACAACTCTCTTATATCCGAGTTACACTGTATTTCATGATCTTTGCCACATCTTCCACACGATTTGTGGTCGGTGGGTTCAAAACAGCGTCAAATACTGACCTTTTTTTTCTTTTTTTTAACTTAATGAGTGAAAGCAGCAAAATTGTTAGAGAGACTTGATGAGAAAGCAAAGTATATTTAAAAAATTAGAAAGGTTAAAAATTATAAATGATAAAATTTTGAAAAGTCACAAAAAAAAAAAACTCTTCCAGAGTTTAACAAGAAATGGTAATTAAAGATCAATAATGAATAATAAATTAAAATAGGTTGCTCTTTATTTCCTAACATTTCGAAGATCAATGATTTGGGCTTTTTATCAGTCACAGTCATTTGGATAATAATTTGAAAAAAACAGTTTCTTTGTTTTTGGTGGTTTTCCTAAGTAAAACGTTCTTTATGGACCAGATTCCAACAAAAAATTTTACTACTTTCTAAGTTTCTATTTTTTTATTCATCAAGATAAAATTCCTCCAAACAAAATAAATATACAAAATGTTACCAAATAGTATCAATGAGAAATGCATTTACTAGCATCTCTAATGAAAATCAAACTTGAAAAAAAAAAAATCTCTGCAGTCGGTAAAAAGTAAAAATTAGTAAAAAAAAAAAAAAAAAAAAAAATGAAAAAAAAAACATAACAGATCTCAGCTGATGATAAACTGATCTCGAATCTGACCGGGAAAAAAAAAAAAAAAAAAAAAAAAAAACATCCTATCAAATTTTAGAATTCAAAAACAAAATTTGAACTTTCAACTCTATTATAAATTAAAATAAGAATAACTCAACAACAATTAATTTAATTATGACAGAAAAGCAACATTGTCAGAGATAAAAACACTAGCTGATTTCATTAGGAATTATTATTCCAATATTTTCATAATCTCAGACTTCTATTTTAAAGAGAAAAAGTAAAAAAGTTAAGATGGCTTGATTATTTATTCATCTACTTTTTTTTTTTTTTAAGTAGGAAGAAATTATATGTTTCAAAGTTTATCCTTTTTAATTTGTGTGTTATGATTTATTATTATTATTATTATTATATGAAGAAGAAGAAGAAGAATGATCAATGGTAAAAATTTCATTTAGGTTTTCGACTTGGGATCTGACCACCTATTGATCCGACTTCTCAAGTTCTTTCTTTACAAAGAAAAAAATTAATAAAATCATTTACAAAATTTTTTAACAAATTAAACAAAACGGCTAAAAACTAAAAACAAGACTAAAATTTTGGGGGCGTTAAAACGTTTCCTTTAAACATCCTTGTCTCGATAATTCCACTGTACTAACTTAGTGTCTGTTACTTTTATGTAGGTGGGGGGCTTTTTAGCAGTCCCAATGAAAATTTTATCATCTGACTGAAATAATCTACATTTGAAAATTTCTAACCCTAAATAATCTACATTTCATTTTCTGCTTTTTAAATGGAATAGGAAGTGCAACATTCTCTTCAAACCGAAGAATAAAGGTTCCACCCACATTTTCCAATAATGTTTCTACTTAAAATTCATTCACAAAAAAAATGACAAATCATGTTTATGTACAAACAATGTACATGTTAATTTTATTTTGTTTTAAAAGGATCTGTACGTGAATTGATTAGATTGGCAAATAATTTCCTGTGTTCCCAAACAAAGTTTTCAATAGAGAAACTGAAAATGTTGTCAACATTTATTTAAAAAAAAAAATGCTATTCTACTACACTACAGCTACTACTTATTTTAATTTCAAGGTTTAAAATAAATTTATTCACAATCATTAATAATATTTTTAAGATTAATAATTTCAGATTTTTTATTAATATTATTTGAAAAGGCAGATAGTACATAAAAAACTAAATATAAAATTAATAAATGAATGCAGCCAGACAGTTATGTACAAAAAACCCTAGTGAAGAGCCTGAACAAGTCATGAGGTATTGATACGAAATCTGAATAGGAAAACGATCAGAAAAATAAGAAATATTGTAATTTATTTTTAACAAAACTCGGTAATAAAATGTCATTTTTAGTAGTAAATAAACTAAACTTGTTGATACTAAAAAAAAATGTCGATTATAAATTCCGCTTGTGATCTTCCTTTAACAGCCACTAAGCTCCAACTTGAGTGGCTATTGTGCCTTGTATGTAATGAATATTAGTATAAAAATAGCTATAATTTCCCAACACAAAATGTGTAAATAACAATAAATTCAATGCAAGCTTTTTTTTGTTTTATTCTAACCAAGAGCTGAAATTACCCTGTTTGCTTGCCTAATTTAATAATCTGCTTTCTTTTATGATCAATTTTTCTATCCACCAGAATTGTTAAAAACTGTTCAAATTTACATTCAAAAATCAAATGAATTCTAATTTACACGTAAATTGAGAAAAGGAATAAACTTTATATAATTTTATTAATTAAAAATTAGAAAGAAAAATTAAAACAATAAGGTTCTGAAGCAGAAAAAAAAGTATCAAATTCGATAAAAATAATAACATAAATTGAGCAACCAATATAAAGAGAATTGTTGTAATGGATAGATTCTGATCGAATTATGAATATAAAAAATAAAGTCGGATAGTGTTTTTAATAAACAAAATATTTTTTTACCAATCAATCTTCTAAATATTGCAAACACTGTATTTTATGAAAAATTATTTTAGCTTTTAAAAAGGGCTACAAGATAAATTTTTAAAGGAAATACAAAATGTTTACTACACTTTCACAAAAATGTACCAAAATGAAAAACATTTACGCAGTAGTGTAAAAAAAATTAATGCATGTATTGTAAATAGTAGTATTAGTGTCCGAGAGGTTTACCGTATACCCGATATCGTAATTTTAAATTTTTTTTAATTGTATTTTTTTTTAAATATTTACAACATTCTTATTAAAATTTGAAATAGTTCATAAAATAATAATAAAAACGTCATATCCGTAATGATGAAGGTCTGGAATTTAAACTCAAGTGATTCAAGCGAGTGTATACTGTTGATTGTAATCTTAGCAAAAATAATAACTTCATCCATTATTCGATATAAATCAGAAAACAAAAATCAAATACCTAACGAAAAGACAAAACAACATATTTAAAAATCTCAGTTAAAAATGTGTTTCTTTCTTACCGGAGGTTCGATATCTGTCTCTTGAAATGATGAACAATACACTACTAAAACTAATGCAAAGACGGCATACTTCAAATCCATGATTAATGAAAATACAGGCTAAAAGTAAATAAGATTTACAAAATGGTTTTTGAAATTGCACACACAATCAAATAAATCTTAGCAATCCATCGTCCACATCTTAAATATGTTTACATACATTTCACTTTTTTATAAAGTAGAAACGGAAGAGAAACGCATCACATGATTGTTAAATAGCATTTGTAAACTGTCTTTTCATTGGTCCTTCATTTTCGATCCACCTAATCACATTGTTGATAACAACCAATATGTTGTCATAGAAACTGAGGACGCATTACTTTAAAAATTGAGATATCAACACCGAAAAAAAAAAGAACGGTTCAAAGGTAGGTTCTTAGTTTATTTGAACTTATTTGTAAAAATCTACCAATATATATGTACACAAACATAAACAAGTATTTACTTGACATTTATTTTAAGATATTTAACATTCTCAATAATTTGGGGTAAAAAATATCAGATGAGGTACTCACTAATCCGACACTTGAGTAAAACACATTTTTCTTTCTTTGTTTTTTTTCTTTTTTTTTTTACAGTGTACACCCGGTAAAAAAGGCCCAAGAGCCACTAGAGGTTATGTAGAAAGGCACAGCTTAGTTTTTTTATAATGATATGTGGGGGTGCGGTTAACCTTAGACTTGAACAAAATTAAGATTAAGAAGATTGTAGTGATCAGGGAAACATCCTCTTTGGAGTTGGCTCCACAAAGCAGGTGTTCGTGTGAAGAAGTTTCTTGAATGGCACTTGAATGTAGTGACCAATGTAATACGAAAGGAATGAGGGCAGTTCGTTACAATGTGCCTGGTCTTAGTAGCCATGAAGGTTACAACTCGTGGAACTAAGGAATGTAATTCGTCTGCTGAACAGTTTCGATGTATAGCGGTTGCTATGTTTTTCACACCCACATACATTCCAAGTCATTTTATTCGCCTGCGATTGGCTAATAAATTACTACTACCTTTGTATAGGACAATTTAGCCATCGCACTCGTTCCTTTGAATCTTTTGGTTCTGAGCATACTTACTTATTTTGTTTAGTGATTGGTTAATTTTTAACGAATCACATATTTTTAATGTAAGATCAAATTTTCCCGCGGTTCCGTGGGAGCCTACTTCTTTTCCTTAAATAGGGCGACTTTTCGCAAGTCGCCAGTAAGATCCAGTAAGATCCCAGCCGTCAACACAAATCCACGATCTTGCTCATCACACTCTAATGCACACACAGACACAGAATTTTGTAACTACAAACTTACATTTTCTCTCTGTAACTTTCGCCAAGCGCAATCAACCAGAACTTTGTTGATTCAAACCAGTTTATTCACAACACATTTCAAGCAATTGTATTCTTGGTGTTATTCATTCTTCACATGAAAACTTTGCTCTAACAATTATTTCGAAATATTTATCTCACAAGAGAACTTTCTTCAAACGGTTGATTATAATCAATCTACAGTCGAAGGGAAAGAACTTCCTTCTCTTTGTGAATACGATTTTATTTCATGCTTGTTGTTGTATTCTATTTAATATATATTTGTTGGTTAACAAATTGGAGTTGACGTTATTATTTCTTAAATCCTGTACGCGGAAGAATCATTAATATAAATAGTAGTCGTACCTATATATTTGGTGTTCCTGCTACATTTAGTGAATCGACCCGACGCTATATTTGGTACGTACGCTACATATGGAAATAACGAAAGCAACAAGAGACTTGCAACGTTTCGTCTGTGTGAAAGGAGTTGCATGGTGAAAAATAATTAATCACCCACAAGGCCGCATAGACACTTTTGGACTATCAAGACAGAAAATGAAGACTTGGCAGCTCCTGTCCATATATGGCAACAGTACTCTAATTTTGACCTGATCTTGTAAAGGTAGAGGATAGGAGGAGTCAGGTACTTACAAGAGCGGTACAGGGAACTGACAATTTGTTCAACTTAATTCCAGTCAAAGTAAAAAATAAATAAATTTATTTTTAAAGTCGAATAAATAAATACAAACAACCAAACACTGAACTTTTGATATTATTTCAAGACTGACTAATATATTTTATAGTTCAGTAAGAGGGTCATCGTGAATCCAGAAAAGAACAAGCTCTTCAACAACGTGCAGTATGGGTTTCAGTTGGTCTGATCCACTGCCGACGTCCTAACTACTATCACTTACAGAATCAGTGAGGTTCTTGATGACAAACACACCTCGAGGACCATAGTACTAGATATCTCAAAGGCTTCGGACAAGGTGTGGCACAAAGACTTACTACACAAGCTCTCCAGTTATAGAATCACTAGATAGGTCTTCCCAACCATAAAATAATTCCTAACAGGTAGTTCCATGAAGGTAGTTATCAAGGATCAGTCCTCTGGGAAGTCAACGCAGACTTACCCTAGGGATAACTACTCAGACCAACCTTCTTTTTGATCTTCATAAATGATTTGCCTAAGAATATACTCAGAACATTTATAAACATCTATGCTGATGATACGACTATATACAAGTGCACTTCTGAAACTCTCGATGGTCAGATATTGGTGACTGATCTCTCTTCTAATCTTGCACAAAGTACCCAATGGAGTAAAAACTGGTTGGTTACATTCAATGCCTTGAAAACCAAGCTAGTTACATGCCATCTTCACCGATCTGACCCCGAACTACCACCAGTCAGGATGAACGGAGGTCCTCACAAGGAAGAACCGTGACTTAACTATTGGGTCTCAAAATATCACCCGATCTGAAATGGAACTCGTACATACGATCCATTGCTAAGGATGCAGGTAAGGTGATCGGCACTCTACATCACTCTAGTAAGTACCTGACTCCTTCTGCTATCCTCTACATTTACAAGAGCCAGATCAAACCAAAAATGTAGGACTGTTATCATATTTGGAGAGATGCCAGATCTCACCCTCCAGCTTTGATATTCAAAAGTGTCTCCGGACCATTGTGGGTGACGAATTATTCTTCACCCTTCAACCCCTCTTTCACAGGCGGGATGTGGCAAGCCTTTCGCTGCTCTACCACTACTTCCATGGAACGAACTACATTCCCTGGTCCCGCCAATGCAAACCTTCACAGCAAGAACACGCCATGCCACTTACATAGTAGCAAACCACCCACATTCCTTTTGTATTCCATCAGTGAGAAGCCCTCCTCGAGCAGCTTCTTCCCATCAAACCACTGCCCTGTGGAATCGACTCCCAGCAGGATGTTTCCCCAATCATTACAATCTTAACTTGTTGAAGGCCAGGTTTAGCCGTTATCTTCCACTCCTATACACACAAATGCCCCCCCCCAAATGTAACCCTCTACCTCGAGTGGCCCCCGGGCTTTGTAAAGGGAAAACGCTGTTAAAATATATTAAATTAAAAAGAAAAACAATGGCTCAACACAATTTTATAAAAATTTTCAAAATTTAAAAAAAGAAAATTTTCTTATATTTATATTTTGAAACTTCCATAGAAAATACCATTAAATCAAAGAAAAATAAGATTATGATAAAAATATAGCTTTAAAAAGTTTTAACATGGTATGTTTTATGGATGGGTATCTCAATAACAGGGAGAGGGGTGTATGTAAATATAAGAAGACTAAAAGACAAAAGAAAGAGTGAACACTGAAGTCAACACAGAGTGGCAAGTTTGTTTCATGCTTGAACGCAGTTTTCAGGCCACCAGTATGAAACAGACTGTCGCCTTGACTTCAATGACAACTTTTAGTCTTTGTACTAAAAGCAACATAATAGAACATATTAGCAAAAAAAAAATCACCAAATCATTATTTTCTTCAGTAAATATGAAATTTCTCATTTAATTCATTGTAATCATAAACAAAACATTCTGTGAACTTTAACATTAATTTTTACAATGCATATCAACAGACTTATTATTACTTATTTGAATGCCTAAGTCGTTCCTTTAACCGTACATATATTTTTTTTATATATTTTTATTCTAGTAAACGTTTTTTTTTTCAAAAATATTTTTTTTAGGTTACTTCAAACAAATTTCATCAGAATGTTATTTTCACCTTGTTTAAAGTTAAATTAAAATGCTTATTTTCATTTATGAAGATTTTTTTCTTTCAAAATATATGCATTATTTGATTCTTTCAAAAATTTAAAGTTTTTATTATGATCATTTGTCCTTTAAGCAGCTTAAATCACAAGTGAACACTGAAAAAAAAAAGTCACGGGATGTGATTTGACCTCATGATTGTTTAAAAAACTTACAATTGTTTGGATTTTTACAGATTCAACTTTGAACTCTTACAGTTCAAGAATACACTACTTAATTCTATATAGAAGATTCTATAATTTTGACAAGGAAGACTTATCATTCCCCGTTCAGTCTATTGAACTCATTCTTTTTGCTTCTGTTGTTATCACAACACTGTTTTTTACATCCATTCTACTACTCAACTGATGTACGATCCTTAAGGAAAGGGATGGGTTGACCTAAAAAAAAAAACGCGATACCGAAGTTTTAAAATTAATTTAAAAAAATCAAAAATCATTCTTGAAGTTTTTTTTATTCTAGTTTTAACTTCAAGTTAATTTATTTCCAATAATCTTTGCTGTATTTCAAAAATTCATTTAAATTGAGTGGAAGGGGTTTTGTTTTCGTGTTTTTATAGTAGTAATTTATCACAGTTGGAATTTGTCATAGCCATAATTAATAAGTTACTTCCAAAGATTTCCTCTAATTAATACTACCTCAAACTATCACAAGTTCACTTGGAATGTGTATTTAATTAATTAACAAGAATTTTCTTCAGAAAAGTAATTGAAAGCAAACTGTGGCATAGTTCGTTTTTTTAACACAATTTTTCTTAGTAAATTTACTAATGAATCCTCTTTTATTGAACCGATCAACAGTTGAGTAATTTAATTACTCAATTGTTTTCTCAATATTAATTACTCAACTTTTTTCTCAATATTAATTCATGTAATTATTGAGAAAACAGTTAACAACACAACAACTTCTTTTAAGTGTATTATTGTAC